TGCAATGGAAATATATTTTCAATTTTTGACAAATTTGCACTCATGCGTTTTTAACAGAAATGGGCACTGAAAAAGCACTGGAGCTCTTTTTTAACTAAAAATGCATTCGGGCAAATTTCCCAAAAATTATCGACAATTTCCATTGCACTCGACATTAAGAATTTCATACATCTGTCAAAACTGACATTCCAACAATAAACTGACATGTTTTGATTATTGATTTACGTTTTATGCGTGTATCAAACGTCAAATTATTGAAGCAATGTCAAAAAAGAGCGAATCTCGCGCAAGTTAGAATAAGTGTATGTACAAACACAGTGCAAGCAGGTTTCCGCTTACCAGTAACCAGCGCCGACTCGTGCTTATAAGCGCGAAAAATGAATGCATGTTTTCAAATCGGCTAGTACCAATGAACTATAACCAAAAACTGGAATGCGAACACATATTGACGAACGTGAAGCCTAGTGCCGCTGCTGCCGAGGGGATACCTGTTTTTGTCGCACTCATTATGTTAAATGGTGGAAATTGCTTCCAACACGTATTCCAATTGATGAAACCTGTGAAGGTAAATATGACAAAACTTTCCAAAACGTCATATGTCAGCGAGCAACAGAAAAAAACAACATTGCCCTTTGTGGCATCTGTCTTTCATGGCTACATTTTTTTGGCAGATATGGCAATGTGTGCGCATTCCAGTTTATGACTATAGTTCATTAGCTAGTACACAGTAACGAACAGGTAGAGTACCTGCTTTTTACTGTGTTCTAGCCGATTTAAAAACATGCATTCATTTTTCGAGCTTAGGAGCGCGAGTCGGCGCTTGTTACCGGTAAGCGGAAACCTGCTTGCACTGTGTTTGTACACGTAGGCTTCACGCGATAATTGGCGCGACACTGATGTTTTAACATTTTTTGACAAAACATTTTTGAGTCATGAAATTCCCTCATAAAAGCTATTTTCGGGTTCGAAAAAAGGACGGTTCTAGAACGATTCAAAACAATCGCACAGTTCATCAATCAACTAAATGACAACGGTTCAGCTATCACAAATTTCAATAATAAACTGTGCGATTGTTTTGAACCGCTCTAGAACCGTCCTTTTTTCGAACCCGAAAATAGCTAAAATACAACTCAAGCAATGGAATTTTTAATCTTGGATTAATTCCCAAGCTGGTGTCAAATAATAGTTCATGGAAAACTAAGACAAGAATGTATGATCGGTTTAGCTCTAAAATCAACCGTTCAGGTTTTACAGCCTGTCAAAGTTACAAAAAAGTAAATTTTCAACTGTTATTATTTCCGAAACAGTTAAAGATAGGTATAGGACATGATACATAAAATAAGTTCAGAATGTAAGGTAGAAATAAGAAATGAAATTAAAAAAAATCCTGTGCAGTTCACACCCGGTAGAAGTGAAACCTTCATCGAACTGCATGCATTACACACATACTAGCATACACAGTGGCGTCCCCCCTCCAAAAGACTTGAGAAAGAACGCAAATAAATATAGTTTAAAAAAACTAAAATACACGCTGGGGTGCTTTGTTCCACATTTCTCATACATTGAACACCCCACGCTTTTTTGACAATAATTCTAATATTTTTTGTTCATTAATATTTTCTGTTTATATTAATAGTAAGTATATTAAAGTATAAGTGGATATTAAGGTATTTAAAACACGCGCAATTTTTCGAGCACGACGGCGCAGCCGGAGTGCTCGAAATAGAGCAAGTGTTTTAAAGACTAGTTATCCACGAATACTTTACACTATTTTTTTTTATTGGTTCCTATACTTTCAAATCATAAATTACTAATAGTTGTAGAATGCTAAATTCGTGATATGACATCTGGTATACCTTTCGTTGTTTGACAAATCAATAATTAAAAAGTTGACATTTAGACTTTACATTTCTTGGATTTTTGATGTTGTCATGGTAACTTTATTAAAACACGCGCGTTTTTGAATGTTGGATTTAAACGCGCTGAGGAGTACTTTAAATAAGTAAAATGGGTTATCAATAAAAAAAATAAATATTTTTCACTTTTTAGTTCAATTTACTATAAAAGCGTGTTTTTTAGTTTTTTTAATAGTTATTTATACACCAAGTGGTTTAAATGAATGTTTATTCATGAGAAGAAAGTTTAACCCACGAGCCTTAGCGAGTGGGCTAGTTTTCTTCGAATGAATAAACATTTTAACTCACGTGATGTATACAAAATTGTATCCCATTTTGTGGAAATTTCGAGGGAAATTTAAAAAATAAAGTACAAGGAAAAATGCCGGGAGTGAGTTAAAACTATTTTAAATCACTGAGGTTTCAGAATTTTAGGTGGGCAGAGTGACTTAAAATGTCGAGAGTGAGTTAAAATGTTTTTAAATCACTGAGGTGATAAACGTCTACCTACCTTTATTGTTATGCGTTCAATAATGTCATTTTAAAACCTCAAAATGGGATAAAATATATTTATTTTTCACTTTTTAGTTCGATGTATTATAAAAGCGTGTCAGCCCCAGAGATTTCCAGACTTTTCCAGACATTATCCAGACTTATTCAGAGCTTTCCAGAGTTTTCCAGATTTCATCCAGATTTATCCAGACTTGTACAGACTGATCCGGATTCTGGAAAATGATCCCCAGGTCTTTTGGGACCTTTTCCAGAATTTTTTCGACCATTTCAAGAAATTTCTAGGCCTTTTCCAGACGTTTCCAGAGATTTCCAGACATTATCCAGACTTATCCAGAGCTTTCCAGAGTTTTCCAGACTTCATCCAGATTAATCCAGACTTGTTCAGACTAATTCTGGAAAATGATCCCCAGGTCTTTTGGGACCTTTTTCAGAATTTTTCCAACCCTTTCCAGAAATTTCCAAGTCTTTTCCTGGCGTTTCCAGACTTTTCCAGACAATAACCAGACTCATCCAGAGTTTTCCAGAGTTTTAGAGACTTTATCCAGATTTATCCAACCTAATCCAAACTTGTACAGACTGATCCGGAGTCTGGAGAATGATCCCCAGGTCTTTTGGGACCTTTGGCAGAATTTTTCCGACCCTTTCCAGAAATTTCCATGCTCTTTCCAGACGTTTCCAGAGATTTTCAGACTTCATCCAGATTTTTCCAGATATTTTCCAGACTTGTTCCAGCTCACTTGGCTTGTTCCAGGTTCTTGTTGTGTGTTAATATAAGCGTGTTAAAAAAGTGTCGCTTTTTCGTTTCATGTCGCTTTTTCGTTTCATCGCGTCTCACATCACTCACACCAACGATTCTAAAGAAGTTTTCACTTCAAAATTAATGTTTTCATTTGTCACAACTTGTTTCTGGGTCACCCTGTATACATGATATTACCGTCAGAAAAACTGCAACTGAAATCAAAAATCGATGTGTCCGAGGTTTTCATGAGCAATCTCACCAATGTGTGAAATTAACACTTTTCCTTTTTATTATTTTTCTATGTTTTCTGAAAGTTTTTTATGTAACAAACGAATAAACATCATCTCTCCCACCCTCGTAACTACGCCATCTCATTTTTTTTTGGTGTAAACATCTCAAGTATCTATTTTGCTGTATTTGTATAGGTACATTTCATTATCTTCGAAATATATTTTTGTGTTTCCGCACATTTCATTCTCCACATTCTTATTTGTTAAATAAAAAGCACAATGTAAATTATAAAACTATTATTATAACTGTTTACTTTTAAATTTATAATAAATATGATAGGAGTATTAGTTTTGCCTCCACAAAAGCCCATAGGATTTATTATTCATCTTCCATGCAATTTGATCACACCCTTCCGTTATCTCGGAAATATTTGCGGTAACGTCGTCTATCACGGTCCTACTTTGAACTCGGCGACAAAGAATGAATTTCGCGCACTTGAATTTGTTGCTGGCCTCTTTTAATGAAAAAGCCAAACAGTAAGTGTATTACGATGACGTAAACGAACTAACGAACTGATACGGTTGATTATATTGGATGCGTCTCAAGAGGCTGGAAATGAGAATCACACAAATATGAAATATTGAGGATTTTGGAAGAGTTGAGAGAGTTAGGCGTTATATTAATTAAATAATAAAATAGTCTACAGATTTTGTTTATTTATTAGTGTGTTAGCCATGAATAAGTTTGGACATTTCCTGTCTTCTTCTTCATCACGTCGTGAATCCGTTCAAATTATTCGTGCTCAAGCATCAGCTTTGCCCACCACTACCGATGGCGATTATAATGTTGAAAATCATAAGTTCTGCAGTTCTGCAATATTGGAATGCCTATAGGGACGACAATGATGCATCTAATAAAAAATATGTAGACTTGGCAACTACGAATTTATACAATAAGGTTCACATCGCAAATGAAGCACTTGGAGTTCTTGGAGAAGCAGCGGATAACATCAGCGATCAAGTTAAAAGCAGTATGAGCGGCATTCAGGAAGTAGATCAAATCTTGAACACAAACATCAACGAGCCTGTAATAAACACAAAATTACAAACTCATAAAAAAGAAACAGAAACTGGGTAAAAAACAAGGAAAATTCAAAAAATAGAAGAAATGAGCAAAATAATGAGTTTTTAAATATTTGGGAAAAAAATTGCAAAAAAAAATTCCGCCCGAGCAGGGACTTGAACCCTGGACCCTTGGATTAAAAGTCCAATGCTCTACCGACTGAGCTACCCGGGCTTGTAAATAAATATGACTAAACTCAATCCATACCTAATCTACTATAGCCAAATTTATTTATTTTGACAAGCTATCACAGTGTTGCCAGGATGCAATCAATTTTCTTTCATTTCAGAGGAATAATTGAGTATGATGGATTATTTTTAATAGTAGTTATTATTAAACTATTGTTACTAATTCATTTTTTTTTTAAATACAGAAGGTAGGATGAGGCTCAAGAAATTAATATGCATAAACCGTTTTGTTGGACTTTGTCTGTGACTTTGGCAAAACCAAAATCAAGTGAATCGAAATAATCGAATCGGAGAATCTGGCAACGTGGCAACGCTGCAAGCGGACGGGCGTTGTTTTGTTTATGTTCCTTTACTTTTCTCTTTACAAAATTTCGAAAATACACTTAAAACCTAAGTACTTACAAGAAAAAAGGTAATTCAATTTAGGAATTAATTAAACAACCACAAGGCTGTATTTAAATCATTTCAATTTAGGCACGAACTCCGTTGCTGTGAGTCATTCCACTTTCTAAACAGTAAACAAGAAAAAGGGCCCCAAAATGCCTCCAGTAGAAGTAGAAACCCAATCTGTAAGTATAACAAATTCATTTCAAAGTGTTATTTGAGGACAACTTATAAGGTTTGTGCCCATTAAAACTTTGGCACACTTTTTTCTTAAACGGAATCTTGTTGAACCGTTGCTTTATTATTAAATTATTGTTTTATTAGCTTTGGGAGTGTAAAGTGTGATTGTGTGATTGATTTCTACAAATATGTTGATAAAACTTCCTTTTTTAAAGGTGGAAGAGCAAATCAGGAACCTTGTTCTTTCTGGACATGTAGGGTTTGATAGTTTACCTGATCAGTTGGTGTCCAAAAGTGTTCAGAATGGATTTATATTCAATATTATGTGCATTGGTAAGTTAGTTATTTGGTCAAGTATTAAGTATTTGTAACAATTTTGGGAGGTTGATTTAAGTACCTATATGGAAAATGAGCCAACTCTTTACAACAATTTGAAGACAGAACAATAATTGCTTAATTCCTAATTCTGAGAAGCAATAAAATTCTACTTTCTTATTATTAGCAATTAACAAAAATGATAACTCGGATAATACCCACATGTATTGTGTGCAATACCCTCGGCAATACCTATAAAATAATAGGTATACAAAATTAAACTAAAAACCAAAAAAAAAAAAATCCTCCAAACCTGTTTCCTCATAAATGGAACCCATCACATCATCACTAACTTGTTTGCTGACTATTTCTCCATAGTCTATCGTCTATCCATACAATCACCCTTGTAATCACCCTAATACACTCAACCACAAAATAGGTATCTTCCTCCATTATTGATATCCCCAAACTGCATGTCACCATTTCTTATATCTTCACCAAACTTTCATCTCTATACATTAACAAGGATCAGGGGCCAGATGAGGTCTACCTACAATATTTCTCAAAAGCTGCAGCCTCGGTTGCAGCTTTAATCTCTCTAGACCTCTTCACCACATCTTCAATCTCTTCCTCCAAATTAGTTATTTCCCTAATGATTGGAAGGAGAGCTTTCTAAAGCCGATTTTTAAGTCAAGCAGTAGGTCATCTGTAATAAATTATCGTCTTATAGGCATCTTTAGTGCAATTACCAAAGTTTTTCAAGAGTTTGATTTGTGACTTGTTGTCCCCTCTCCTTGAGCCTGTTCTGATTGACCAACAGTTTGGTTGTAGACCTCGTAGGCTAACTGAGTTGAATCTGCTGACACACTTGGAGTTTCTGTTGGGGGCCTTGGAGATGACTGGCAGTTTGATAGTGTTTACACTGATTTCTCCAAGCTTTTTGACAGGGTTCCCCATGGTCTGTTAGTTCATAAGCTCGCAATGTTTGAAATTGGTGAACCTCTCATCCGAGCTCTTATCTCTTGGTTTCAGAGCTATTTGACTGGGCGCAGAATGACTAAAAGAATAATTTAAATATGTTTTTGAAAAATGTGAAAGTGGCCCATAAATGAATACCTACTAGCAGTCACTGCTTGCTTTTTGCAGATGATCTCAAATAAGGTTGCTTAATTAGGACCTCGAGTATTGTGACAAACTTCAGTATGATTTGCATAGCCTGTGTGATTGGGGTCTCAGCAATGGAATTGATCTCAACCCTGGCAAATGTAAGGCCATGACCTTTTAATGCTTCAGGACCCCAATAAATTTTCAGCATATCATCAGCCAATGCTATCTCATGAATATATCTTTTGTCAAGAACTTGGGTATCACTTTGGATCCAACTCTCCAGTTCTCTCGAAACCTTGATAATGTTGTTGGTAAGACTTTTCAAATGTTTGGCGTTATCAGAAGAACCACCCAAGACTTCACCAATCCAAAGGCTTTGAAAACACTGTTTGCCTCCACTCGGAGTACCTATGCCTCCTGCGTGTGATCTCCCTTTTATGAGTTCCATATTCAATCTCTCAATCTGGTTGAGCACAAAGTCCTTGAAACCAGTGGCACAAATTGAACATCCTGGATCACTATACTCTGAAATGCTTACTTTGCTCAATATGTCACCTATTGTATCGCTTCACAAAAAAGAGATCTCCAGATTTTTCATAATATATTACATGGCAGAGACGCAGCTCCAGAGTTGCTCCATAAAGTTGATATACATGTCCCTTCTAGATCCACCAGATCTACAGATAGCTTCTACGTCCAAATTTACCGAACCAATTATGGCCTGAATACATTTATTCCCAGAACTACAAGATTGCGGCCAATTGACATCATGAGATAGCACTTTTAAGTTTAAAGAGGATGTTGCATTCAGCTGTAAGTTTTATAAATTGGGAATTGCCTGTTGAAAAATAAATAAATAAATCACAGAGAAAGCATTACCCTGTTGAATCGCAAGACTTATCTTCTGAGTTATGAAGCTACGAGTTTGGTCACCAGGTATTTTTGAAGCTATATCTGAAACCCACTTCTTAGTACCCCTAGGGGCCATAAGTCTCGACAACAAAGTGAACAAAAGTATATCAATCTGCAAGTTTCCCATACTTTTTATGTTTCAAATCCTGTGCTAAAATGGAAAAATTCTATTGGGTTGTTTTTTCCATTTGTAATTTAAGCTATATAAATACACAAAATAAAATAATATAATAAAAGCTAAAAATGTAAATAAAAATAATTTTAAATGATTTTTTGAAAATAACTGACTAAATTGAGATAAATTTTTTAAAGAAAAAAATAAATTTAGTCCAGTTCTCTCGAAACCTTGATAATGTTGTTGGTAAGACTTTTCAAATGTTTGGCGTTATCAGAAGAACCACACAAGACTTCACCAATCCAAAGGCTTTGAAAACACTGTTTGCCTCCACTCGGAGTACCTATGCCTCCTGCGTGTGATCTCCCTTTTATGAGTTCCATATTCAATCTCTCAATCTGGTTGAGCACAAAGCCTTGAAACCAGTGGCACAAATTGAACATCCTGGATCACTATACTCTGAAATGCTTACTTTGCTCAATATGTCACCCATTGTATCGCTTCACAAAAAAGAGATCTCCAGATTTTTTATAATATATTACATGGCAGAGACGCAGCTCCAGAGTTGCTCCATAAAGTTGATATACATGTCCCTTCTAGATCCACCAGATCTACAGATAGCTTCTACGTCCAAATTTACCGAACCAATTATGGCCTGAATACATTTATTCCCAGAACTACAAGATTGCGGCCAATTGACATCATGAGATAGCACTTTTAAGTTTAAAGAGGATGTTGCATTCAGCTGTAAGTTTTATAAATTGGGAATTGCCTGTTGAAAAATAAATAAATAAATCACAGAGAAAGCATTACCCTGTTGAATCGCAAGACTTATCTTCTGAGTTATGAAGCTACGAGTTTGGTCACCAGGTATTTTTGAAGCTATATCTGAAGCCCACTTCTTAGTACCCCTAGGGGCCATAAGTCTCGACAAAAAAGTGAACAAAAGTATATAAATCTGCAAGTTTCCCATACTTTTTATGTTTCAAATCCTCTGCTAAAATGGAAAAATTCTATTGGGTTGTTTTTTCCATTTGTAATTTTTTGTTTATTCCAGGCTCTTGAATTCGCTGCATGTTTCTGATCTCTAAATTAAAAAATAATAATTCCAGGACTTGGAATGAGGAAAAAAATAAAGAAAATTAACAGTTTTAATGCAGCTCTAGTAGTTTTGCAGGTGTAAGGCTTCAAAGACCAAATCAAATTTCGCATTTTTTTTTTAACTACAAAATTTCAATAAGTACTAGGAATCTCTCAAACATTGTCCCGTGATTATCCTAAATAAAAAGTTTCAATGCATTTTTAGTTCTCAGGCTATGAAACTTTAAATCTCCTAGCTTTGATTTTTATCGAACTGCGCATTGATTGAGCAAGCAGAAAAAGTTTTTCCCCAAACTTGAATCTTTATCTATCCTTTCCACTTGCAAAATTTCAATCCAATTCCTCAACGTAATTTGGATCAAGAAACAATTTAAATATATACCTACTTTTTCTGTTGTCCTATAAACAGTGAACTTAAATAGTGAGAGAGAATAAAGGGAACATGCCTGAATGCTTAAGGTGCATGAGATCTTGCACACCCAAGGAAAAGCCCCCAAAAAGTAATATGCAGGGACTGCTCCAATGTTACCTCCACTGAAATACGGGCAATAATTCTTGCTGTTCTTTTATGATGTATGTGCTGGCTCAGTCAAAACGTTACCATCATTTACACACATAATACTAAAAATTGAAGCTGAACTTAAACAAGTCACATCACAGGTTCAAGAGGTAAAAACAATATTGCAAGAGTTGGAAGCTAAAACAATGGCTTGTAATTATGGGAAATTATATAATTAAAGGCCATGAAACGATAGGATTCTCCTGTTATCAAGTACTTGAAAAGAAAATACGGTTTTGCATATTTCTACAGACGTTATTCTCAACATGAAATACTTAGCACCAAAGCAAGCTTTTCCCTAGCTGCTATTGGTCTTTTAACATATTTAAGTACTAGAAGTTTTTTCTATGCCAGCGGATACAAGATTTAACAGTTCATTAAACTGACATCTAGTGAGCCTAAAGTATTCTCTGAATTTAGTTTCATCATCAATCATTATTAGGATACCAAAACACCCTTCCTTTCTTCTTTGAACTAACATCTTATGAACCTTTCTACTCTTTTTATGCATTAATGACAATAGTGAAATGTCATCATCTTCTGCTTCCTCCATAAGCAACTGTGCTGCAGTTAAATTTTGCACGACCGTTCACAACACGCTGCACTGATTGGCGACTGTTCGAAGTAGACAGACCACTAAGTGTGATTGGATGTAAGTGATTAAACGTCACGTTTAATCGCCTCCACTACTCGCCCAAAACAAACCGCGCCCTAATGTCTATATTAATAACAGGCTTGCAGGCACAAATACTGACAATATGGAATTCAGTGAATTTGAGGGCATAGTTGAGTGAACCATTGAAACCTTGAAACCTATATCCCACTCAAACCTAAGCTTGTGAATCATAAAAAACCATGGTTAAATAATGCAATATTTAGAGCAATCGGGAGAAAACGAAACCTTTGGGATAAATACGCCAAGAGCAAAATAACAGATAATTACAATTTGTACAGGACTCAAAATAACAACTTAAAGAACACAATCAGGCCAGCCAGGATAGAATATGATAATGGTCTCTTGGAAACAGAGACGAGGAATAGTTTTACACGAATGTTAAGCAAACATTAAACAGCAACGCATCCGAGCTTGTGCTTAGAAAACCAATCACGGGAGTGATTATCTCTGATTCTCAGAAGACAGCTAACACATTCGCAGATCACTTTGTGAAGGTAGGTATACACCAGAGAAAACTTAGTGAATTATCCATCGCTATTGCAGAATACTAAGATCTATTGAATCATCAAAAACCATAGATGTCACTGAGGAAAAGGTTATTCAAGCACACTGGAAAGCGAATCTAAACCAGGCCCGGATGAAATACCGACAATATTTTTAATAAATTGCCAAAGGACGTTGGCTCCAGTGATAACCGGTCTGTTGCAGTCACTAATCACTCAGCAACTTGTGCCACAGGGATGATCTTGAGCATATGTAGTGCCAATCTACGAAAAAGGAGACAAGCTCAACCCTGGAAATTCCCGACCAATTAGCCTCACCTGTAACCTATGCAAGATCATGGAAAAAATAATTGTTCAGGAAATGACATCTTTCCTTGTTAAAAACAAGACCATCCTAAAGAGTCACGCACAAAATATCTGCAAAGGTAGCAGTGCTGAGCGGCTGAAAAGCCGAAACGACTCCCCCGAAATCTACAAACTACAATCTACCCACCCAACACGGATTTCTCCCCCAACGATCTACCACCAACCTACTCACCTGCATAAACGCATGGACGAAAGAAGTGGACAGTGGCCATCCGGTGACAATGTGGCATTCAAGAGGTTATTATTCAAACTGCAACACTTTGGAATCAGGGTGAGCTTCCCAGATGGATAGGCAGTTTTCTACAAAACCGAACCTTTCAAGTGAGAGCAAATGGGCATTACTCTGATGAATACAAGGTCCTTAGTGGGGTGCCACAGGGATCGGTGTTGGGGCAACTGCTGTTTACTGTATACATTAGCAATCTTCATTCTCTCAGAAAGACAAACATAATTTTTTATGCTGATGAATCAAAAATATACTGCAATCCGTGCTTGGAGCATCACACTTTCTAGACGACCTGAAAACACTCGAAAAATGGATCAGCGAATGGCAGCTAACAATCGCCCAGACAAGTGCACTGTACTGCACATTGGCCCCTAACAATCCAAACATACCTTGCTTAAACGGCACTATGTGTCATTATCTCAAATCACCTAAAATGGGAAGCCCATATTTCTTCAGTTATCAAGAGGACGAACTCTTTTGTATACCTCATATAGAAAGCTTTTAGTGACAGATTTATCCCCATGATTAGCAAACATTATCAGACCTAAATTGGAGTTCTCACATTCGGTTTGGAGCCCATACCTGGTTAAGGACATTGAGATCTTGGAAAGACTCCAGCGTAGAGTGACAAAATTCTCCCCTGAAATCAGAAATATCGCATACAAAAAAAGACTACTGAGATACGACATAACAACCCTTAAAGGTAAACAAGAGATTCAGACGTACAAAATTTTAAATCACCATTATTCTCCAGATTTGCAACTGGACATTTTCGGTCTAAATAAACCAGCAACTCCGAGGCCATATTAAGAAGCTGGATAAGGAGAGATGTTCGAAGTTGGTCAGAAAGAATTTTCTGACGAATATCAACGGAACGCCTTTCAGGAAAGCGCAGTCAGTGCTCCTTCAAAGAACGCATCCAAAAACAGACTTGACCGGGACCTGGAGAGAGCTAGATTGAATTTTGTGCATTACGTGTGACTCATAACAGTGAAAACAAGGATATAACAACACAGCAGTAGTCTCATCGGCGTTGCCGCTTACTGTGCTCGAACCTATAATAATAATAATAATAATAATAATAATAATAATAATAATAATAAGAATTAAAATTGGTCCATAAGATGTTCACTTGCCAGACCGGTATACCACAAAAAATTCTCTCTTAATTTTGATTTTCATCAAGGTGAGCAAGTAAACCCTAGACTTTCAAATTATTTCTATTCACTTGTAAAATTTCAATCCAATCCCTCAACAAATTTTGAAAAAATTGAAGAATTCTTGACAGTGTGTTGAATCAAAAAAAGTTGTTGGAAAAGTTCTTTGGAAAAACGTTGATTGGAAAAATATACACACACACAAACACGTATTTTTTCAAAGATATTTTCCAAGAACTTTCTTTCATTTCTTGAAGATTGAATTTTTTCCAAAATTACATCAACCCACATTACGCCTCACAAATTTCTATCCGATCATAATATAATAAGGATCAAATAAGGGCCAATTAAATTCTTCACAATTTATCAAATTTTCATATAGTCTGATGTATTTTCTTGTAGTCATATTATGTATTCATATGTATTCTTGTATTTTTATGTATCACTGCGTGTATTCTTATGTATTCTTTTGTAGTCCATGTATTCAGTGTACAAATTTGGATGGCGGTTTAACCCTCGATTTTTTCTACCCACTTGGAAAATTTAAATCCAATCCCTCAAACATTTTCCTCAAAAATTCAACTAATTTTTTTTTGGAAAAATTTGAATATCACTTAATGGACTGGTTGCTTCAAAATATTCCAAAGTCAACCGTTTGTGATATACCTACTCTTCTATGAAAAGTAAAACAAATAAATACTTTATATTGTAAGACATCCTTTTTTAGGTGAAACTGGTTTGGGTAAATCCACCCTAATGGACTCTCTATTCAACACAAATTTTGAATCCAACCAAAGCCCCCATACTTTGCCCACTGTTAAGCTTAACGGACACACTTACGAGCTTCAGGAAAGCAACGTTAGACTTAAAGTAAGCCCTCAAATCCAAAAAAAATAATTTTTATTCAACCATAATTATTTCAGCTAACAATTGTCGACACTGTCGGTTACGGTGACCAAATCAACAAAGACGACAGCTTCAAAGCCATCGTTAAATACATCGACGATCAATTTGAGAATTATCTTCAAGAAGAATTGAAAATAAAAAGATCTCTGTCCTCATTCCATGATTCAAGAATTCACGCTTGTCTTTATTTTATTTGTCCCACGGGGCACGGCCTGAAATCCATCGATTTGGTTTGCATGAAAAAGCTGGACCAAAAAGTCAACATCATTCCGATTATTGCCAAGGCTGACACTATTTCGAAAACCGAATTGCAAAAATTCAAATCTAAGATAATGGCCGAATTGCAAAACAATGGAGTGCATATTTACGAGTTTCCTGTTGACGACGAGTCAGTTTCTGAGATAAACGGTTCGATGAATTCGCATATTCCTTTTGCTGTTATTGGTAGTACTGATTTTGTAAAAGTAGGAAGCAAGGTAAGGATTTTTTTATAAAAAAAAAAACATGTTCTAATAAATTACTTTTAGCTTGTTAGAGCCAGGCAATATCCATGGGGCACTGTTCAAGTAGAAAACGAGACTCATTGCGATTTTGTGAAACTTAGAGAAATGCTCATTAGAACCAATATGGAAGATATGCGTGAAAAGACTCACAATAAGCACTATGAGCTTTACAGGAAAAAACGCCTGGAACAAATGGGCTTTTCCGATGTCGACGCTAATAATAAACCAATCAGCTTCCAAGAAACTTTCGAAGTGAAACGTTCCAATCACGTGCAAGAATTGCAACAAAAAGAAGACGAAATGAGGCAGATGTTTGTTGTTAGAGTAAAAGAGAAGGAGGCTGAATTGAAGGAAGCAGAAAAAGATGTAAGAATTTTGTCGGTTATTATTATTATTAATTTATATGTTTTTTTGTTTTGTTTCAGTTGCACGCTAAATTTGACAAATTGAAAAAGGATCACACGGACGAAAAGAAGAAAATCGAAGAGTCGCGGAAAAAATTGGAAGACGAAATTGTGGAGTTTAACAGAAGAAAGGCGCAGTACCAGCAGATGGGTTCTAGCAGTCATCACACCTTGACTCTTGGAAAAAGTAAGAAGAAATAGAATAAGTAGAAATGCTTATTTTTCCTCATTAATTATATTTGCTTGAGCTGAAAATATTTAAAAAATACCGCTATATGTAATTAAGGTGTAGTTAAGAATAATAATACTGGACTAATAAACCATATTTTTTTTTCTTGTTTGCGTTTTAAAAATACAGGGTGTCCGGAAAGGGTTGAAGAGCATGGGGATTTTGGAAACCATTGAAGATGAAGGGTGGACCAAATGGGGAAAAAGTTGCGCAATCAAGTACCTACAAATAATCTATCAACAATTTTTTTCAACTCGGAATAGCAAATACACCTATTCTGGAAATTTCATGATTGTATCTTTAATAATAGACAAGATATGAAGGATTTTATAAAACGCACTTTTTTTCTTTTTGACCTTGTATATCCGTTGCTATTCCAAGTTCAAAGAAGTTGGTGACACGTTATTTGTAGGCACTTGATTGCGCAACATTTTCTTCATTTGCTCAACCCTGTATTTTCAATGGTTTCCGAAATCCCCATGTAATCCAAATTATTCCGGAAACCCTAGGTAATTTTTAAAATTTAGAAGCTTGACCATCATAGCAAATTTGAAAATTGGTTTATAAGCCCATTCGACTTTTTATATTAATATTTCCTACATTAAAATGAAACAAGTTATTTTTCTAAATGCATCTTAACTAACTTTATTGTCACCCCCTTTGCTGTTTTTGCACTTAATTAACATTTAAAGTTTTAATTTGATCAAAAACATGTAAGTAATTTTGTGCCTGGATTTTTTTTTTCTAAAGCATCCATCTTTTAGATTTACTAAAAGTATGCTAGAAATCGTTTATTTAGTGACTCTATGTGTCTCTTAGTAATCTCATATTCCTACTTTTTATACAAACTATAATAATTAGTTTAGAAATAGAGCTATAAGTGTATATTTAAAATAAATTAAAATGTGATTCCAAAATTGGTTTAATTTTTTTTGCAAAAATTATACAGCTGTTTCACCTGGTCTTACTAACCGAGCAAACCTCTTATAATAAGTGAATTTTTTGGATATGTTCTGGACTTTTTCGTACTTTGGCTGTCTCGGAGTGAACCTGGTTTTGATTTCTTTTAGGTGGCCCTAGAAATGGAAAAAAAACCTCTTATGTTAACAGCATGACTTGCACTGTACAAAAAAAAGCACTTTATACTTATTATACAAGAAAAAACTGAACTATAGTTTTTTGTCTTTTTAGGTTTTTGCTGCTTCTTGACTTCATTCGTTCTGGTTTTTACTAGAAATTATGTATGATGCTTTATTTTTTTTGCGTTTTCTAATTAAAGCTTGGTGCCATCCTCTACTAAAAAAGCTATTGTGTTTTCGTGCAAACTTAAATTCTGACAAAGGATTTTCTTCTTATTTTCAGAAGTCATGCATAAGTTTATGTAAAGACACACACATGTCGGCTAGACACTTTGAACATCTAATTTATAAGGTAAATAAGGACTTAGCTATATATAGTATAATGTTTTTTATATGAGGAATTATATATTTTTTTTTAATTGTTAATGGCAGCTACTTGGGTTGTTATAGGTTTAAAGCTTTCATTTGATTTTGTATTGAGTGTTCATCTGAAAATTAATCCAGCCAATTTTATGGCGTTATTCTTTGAAAAATAATACATATGTAGGGGAGGTCAAGGTTTCGTAGTTATGATTGGATATTGGTTCATCAAGATAGAAGAGATTAGAAAATTTTGGGAGAGGTTTTTCTAGCAATGGAAATAATAAACTTATAATGATATTGAGATAGAGAGGTGTTCAAATCTCAAGAATACTCTTCTTTTGGAACATTTCTCAAAAACTCGTCTCGTGGAAACAAAAATCAAATTTCAAATTTGTTCAAGCTATTTCCAGGGTGGGTTGCTTTCAAATGAACACAAACATTCATAAGACTTGTAGAAATCTAGTTTAGTTTCATACTTACTTTAGTACAAAATACAATATCACCGATTTATTATATTACTTATTTATTATTTTTTTTAATTTTATTATTAAAATCCCTATAAATCTTTTAGGTGTGCCTCTTTTTGTCCTTGTAAAATAAATACAAACATTTGTATCCAACAAATTTTTAATCGTAGAAAAATATTTACAAAAAACTTATACAAGAAAAAGTGTTCTCGAGTACAAACTACACACTAAAAGTGTAACATAATTTAACTAAAATCTATTAAACAAAATAAAAATTAAAAATCTCTCATTAATATTACGTAATTATTACTAGAAAAATTTGCACTATACGGTTTCGAATTGGGTATTGTTAGTTATTAATTATTGCTGAAGCCCTCAAAATGGTAATCGAATACTCTTGAAGGCACAATTTTTATTGAGCAGCTGATTGTTCCTGTATAATTTATTCTTAAAAATTTAACCAAACTGAAATTGTATTATAGTTTATTAATAATTATTACTACACCATTATGAAAATAGTAAATTTTAAGTTAAAGACTATTGGTCTAATTTCAAGTTAAGTTAATAAAAATACCTTATTTTAAGTAGCTACAATTTGGCAAACAATTTAGCCTCTTAAATAATATCAGTACGTGTCTTTAGGCCTAATAAGTTCTAACATAAGGATATGTTATTTATTGGAAAACTATGGATTCAAAAAATTCCATTAAATAATTTGGCAAGAAGTCGTTGTAATGGGGAAGTAAGTATACCTAATGTGATTACAGTTTCTGTTGCTAATGTGAAAAGTGCCTAAAATGTAATAATAATGCAGACTTGTGAGTGATTTTTGTGATTCAAGGAATAACTTTCATAGAAACTTAAACCTTGATACTTTCCCCTATTAAAGCTCAGTTCCTATATAAATAATATATAGCAAAAAGTTTTCGTGAATAGCAGTTATGTTGTCTCGAAGCAATAAAGCTGAGTGCTGTTTAGCGCGTGACCCCAGCGACCCTGTACTTTGCCCTGATGTGCAGAAATTTCGGTGCATCGTTCGAGTCCCGGTCCGGACTTTCCCGAGTGACGATTTTCACCTGGCAAGGATCGTGACGCAACAGGAAATGGTCCAGGGTATCCCATCCTCCTCCCACTCTTACCATCATGTGTCTGCCTTTCAACAACTGGAACAAATTTAATTAGAATTAACTATGAGTTACATAACTTTGATAATTCAGACATATTTTTTGAATAATTTAGCTATTTTGAGTACGAAATAGAATAAATTAAAGACAATTCTTCATTAGTTTTCAACTCATATTTGGTCGTTGGTCATTTCTTCATTTTGAGTATGACCAACAAACTTTCTGATTCATTTGATTGAAGAACTTTAATTTTTTGATCGCCTTCTTTATTCTTATTGAAATCCTTAATGTTTCGGAACAATTATCAAAGTCGTATTGTAAAAAAAACACGTCCACTTACCCTTATGAATACGTTCTTTCCAGCAATATTGTATTTACCCTCTCCCACTTTCCTAACTCTGAGCTTATCGCATTTACCAGAAGCGCAATTACAATTTCTCTGCATCAATCTGGCAGCAAGCTGAACTTTTCTGTCCAATTCTGTCGTCAGACTTTGAGCGGGTGCATCGCCACCACCTGAAAAATAATCAATCAGTCCCAATATCAACACAAAATCTTCACTCACCTTTACAATCAACGCTTCTCCTGGTATCCACCACATCCAAGTCCGGATCTTCTGGACTGCCTCCGGACCATTCTTCGTCTTCAGTATGATCGCTAGGAACACCGTCGCTTGCGCCACTAGTTTTTATGGTCAGATTATTATCGCCGGCACCGTCTCGTATTAGCAAAACGTGAGGGCCAGTATTCCAGCGTTCGGCGTAATGGGAAATTGCCGATGCAGATCGGCTGTGGCTCATTTTGAGCTCGGAGTTGTCCATTCTAGGCGAGCTGGCTTGGAATTGCCAGGATAATAGGGAGCTCATGCCGGAATCTCCGCTGTTGCGCTCTTCTTCGGCGATTTCTTTTTCTAGTTGCACCAGGCCTGGAGGTTCTATGCCGAATTTCGTGGCTAGTCTGGCTACTTCTAGGAGGCATAGGATGACGCTGCGTGGCTGATTGTGTAAAACTAGAATTGAATGGTGAATTTCATAGAACTGTCCAGTAATCTGAGCGTGATAGCTTATAATCAAAACCCTTGGGAGTTTGCCTCCTTACAAGGAAAGTTCTGTGTGAGTGGTAAACGGAGTTTTAATTTTGAATTTCAAATATTTTAATGTTTATGGTAAGATATTTGAAGATACTATTTATCAAAAAGTGAGCCCATTATTTCAACAGCTATTTTCACCTGCCATGAGTGTTGAGCCATCTGACATTATTGCAACATCAGAAGTCCCGCAAGGTGCCCATCTTGCCCCTATTCTCTTCAATTGTTACATCAATGATATAGATGACGTTATCACTAATAGTGAATGCTTGTTGTACGCGGATGACTTGAAAATATACAGAGTTGTAGAAGATAGGAGTGACTGTGAGGCGATTCAGGAGGACTTGCAGAATCTTGACAGGTGATGCAAATCAGACCTCATGCACCTTAACATCTCAAAATGTTTTGCCATATCTTTTCACCGTAAGAAAAACTGCCTTAACTACAATTACTCTATAGATGGGTTTCTGGTCTCCAGAATCGATCAAATAAAAGTCCTCGGTGTTACCTTCGAGACTACACTTCGTTTTGATGCCCACTTGGCGGAAGCAACAAACAGAGGTCTAAAGCTTCTCAGCTTTGTGGGGAGGACACTGGCTGACTTTAATGATGTTTCGTGTTTTAAGTTTATTTATGTCATACCAGTACATTATTGTGTTTTTATACCTTAGATACCATCTATATAATTCATTACTTTATGCCCGTGCGGGCATAAAGTACACATTATGGCCCGCGCGGGCATAAAGTACACATTATGGCCCGCGCAGGCATGACATAATAGTTATTTATGTATCAAGGGTACTAAGTAGATGATTATGCCCCGAGGGCGACAGTCTTACAAAGCCGAGGGCCTCTGGCCCGAGGGTTCGTAAGTTGCCCGAGGGTATATATCTATTAGTACCCGTGGTGCATACAAACTTTTATGTCATGCCTGCGCGGGCCATAATGTGTACTTTATGCCCGCGCGGGCCATAATGTGTACTTTATGCCCGCACGGGCATAAAGTAATGAATTATATAGATGGTATCTAAGGTATAAAAACACAATAATGTACTGGTATGACATAATAGTTATTTATGTATCAAGGGTACTAAGTAGATGATTATGCCCCGAGGGCGACAGTCTTACAAAGCCGAGGGCCTCTGGCCCGAGGGTTCGTAAGTTGCCCGAGGGTATATATCTATTAGTACCCGTGGTGCATACAAACTTTTATGTCATGCCTGCGCGGGCCATAATGTGTACTTTATGCCCGCGCGGGCCATAATGTGTACTTTATGCCCGCACGGGCATAAAGTAATGAATTATATAGATGGTATCTAAGGTATAAAAACACAATAATGTACTGGTATGACATAAAAGTTTGTATGCACCACGGGTACTAATAGATATATACCCTCGGGCAACTTACGAACCCTCGGGCCAGAGGCCCTCGGTTTTGTAAGACTGTCGCCCTCGGGGCATAATCATCTACTTAGTACCCTTGATACATAAATAACTATTATTGCTCTATTGTACGATCAGTTCTTGAATACGCAGCCCCCATATGGGCTCCACATTATGAGACATACAGGGGACAGATTGAAGGAGTACAGAGGAAATTCTTTCGCCTTGTCGCTTTCAAACAGGGTAATCAGCGGAAAGATGTAGTCTACAGTGATATAGAAATCTTCCATCAATATCCTATCCCTGAATCAAAGACGCATCTATCTGGATCTCACACTGTTTTATAAAATTATTAACTCGCTAATTGATGTCCCTGGCTTGCTTCGGACGATAAGTCTTTCTATTCCACAAAGAGCTCTTAGAGCTCACAGCTTGATTCATTTCATAGTACAAATTATGGATGTAATAGTCCCGTTACGCGCATGTGTAGGGAGATGAATTCTTTTGATGCTCGTCTTGATGTCTTTTGTGTATCACTCGAAAAATTCAAGATAGAATTGAAGCGGATGTTGAGAGATGAAACACATAGCAAAATGGCTCAATATATCCAATCTTAACATTTAGCGCAAGAAAAACGCTCATTTTGCAACTTGTTACATAAATAGCTATTTTGGCATTTTGTTCTGTAGGTACATACAGAGGAACTGAGGGATGTTTGTGAAAATCCTAGGAAGTTCAAATTATGGAAGTATTGTGGAGGTTTGGGGAATTATTGAGGAAGGTCAAAAGGTACGTAGTTCGAGCAAGTACGGGATCCAGTTTATCGAATTAAAGATTAAAATTTGAGAGAAGGATTTTCCATCGCTTTGGGATAAGGAAAATCAGTTATCTAAGAATTTTCTTGGAACTGCATTTTGTTCTTCTTATTATTATTATTATACATATACCAATTATTGTAATTTTTCACATTCAATATCAGGTTTGGCCAGTTACAATAAATACCAAATATACCCCAGAAGAGAAATTCTCGTGTAGAAACACGAATGAAAACCATCTGGGACCTTATTCTTGAAACAAGGGAGCAGCGTTCCCAGGAGAACAAGTGTTTCTTCTTTGTTAGTTATATTATCACTTGCATATGATTGAGAAAGACGGAACACTCGTTCTCCTGGGAACGCTGCTCCCTTGTTTCAAGAATAAGGACCCTGGGGCCCGATTCTCGTCTCAGGGAGTAGAGAGAACAAATTTTTCATCTTTATCATTCTCGTTTATTTCGGGGAGATCTACTCCCCGAGACGGAGACGAGAATCCGGCCGCCGGCCTATCTGGGTCCTTATTCTTGAAACAGGGGAGCAGCGTTCCCAGTAGAACGAGTATTTCGTCTTGGTTACTTATAAAGTGTGTTTTTTTTTTAAAGATAAAAGTCAAAATGACATTATGTTGGCAACACAATGTAAAATTGTCAAGGCTTTCAAATTTTTTATGTAGAAAAGGCTTGTGTTGCCAACATATAGTTACTAAATTTTTGACTTGGGGAATTATCTTTAAAAAAAAAAAACAGACTTTATTATCAGTTTCATATCATTGAGAAAGATGGAACACTCGTTCTGCTATAAGAACGCTCCTCCCCTGTTTCAAGAATAAGGACCCTGGAGTTTCACCCTCCTACCAAGAAAGTACAGAGGAACTAGGGATGTTTGTGGAAATTTGAGGAAGTTCGAATTGTGGAAGTATTGTGGAAGTTTGGGAAATTATTAAGGAAGTTCAAAGGTAGTCTGAGGGAGTGCGGGAAGCATTTTATCGAATTACAGATAGAAATTTGAGAGGACGTTTTTCCTTCGCATTTAAGACGAAGTTCAAAGTGCAGAAACGCAAATGAAAGTCTTCCCCTTCAATTAAGACAGTGCAGGAATGTTTATGTAAATCCGGGGAAGTACAAGGAAGTTCAAACCATGCCAGTCTTATGCCCGTATTACATCTGTGTATTCTTCCGTGTATTTATTCATGTAGTTCAGAGTAACAACCGAAAAACTTCAAACGCAACATAAATCAGCATTATGAAAAACAAAATAATGTTGGCACCCTGAAATACATGAATAAATACACGGAAAAATACACAGATGTAATACGGGCATTACAATGTATTGAGGATGTCAAGGAAATCTGAAGAAGTATCGGAAATTATTAAGAAAATCCGTGGTAGGTAGTCACAGGGAATAAGGAAAATATTGAATGTGTACCTATCTGTATTTTAGATGATATCGTTCTCTTTTCGGATAGGGTTGATGAAGCCAGAGAAATGTTGCTAAAGTTAAATGAGGGCAATAAGGCATCAATTAGCAAAACCCAATGTATGACGAACCTTGTTATAAGCGAGAACATCAATCTGGACGGGTCAAGCATTCAAATAGTGAGTTTTTATAAATACTTTGGATCACGAGCTGCGTCTAGGAAGAGACAACCAGACCTGTGAAATTATCAGACGAAAAGGTTTGGCCTGGGCTGCCTATGGAAAACTGCATAGCATCTTAAGGTCGTAAGTTTTTGTCAAGTTTAGATCAAGAAAGCAGTTGTTGACGAAAGTATCACGTAACTATTATAGTAACCCAGAACAATACAAACAAATTGTGTAATGGGTAGTATTCTTATGATGTGTAGTCTGATGGTGTCTGGAAATGGAGCAAAATAGCCTCCCCAAGTTTATTCTTGAGGCAGTTGAAGAGGCCAAGGAAGATCTATTACCTTCAAAGTCTAAAACCCACTAAACATGTAATTTCGCAAAATTTGTCAGCAATATTGTATCGACCTTACTTTAGAAAATTTATTACGTAATGTGACATTAAGCTTTCTTAAATATTACTCATCCAATGTAAAGGGATATAAATTAGATATAGCTTCAATAGAGAAACATTCGTTTTAGTTATTATGTAAATGTTGCAGTAGATACAATAATGTATTACATTTAAAACATTAAAAAATGTAAGTGAAGCAAATATTACAACAATGTTATGTCAACTCTGTCGCTTTAATGTTGCGGAAATATTTACATTTGTAACATTGAAAATATATAATAAAATAAATGGTTGCATAAATATTATAAACTCAACTTTTCTTAAAAACTGTCGCTGTAATGTTGCAGATACCTTACATGCGTACGTTAACAGTTTCAAGAATAAAAAACGTTACCTAAATATTTCAATATAAACATTGGAATAAGAAACATAAATTTTCTCAATGTTGCATAAAGCTTGCAGATAGATTTTATTTGCAATATGCTGTCTTTGTCTCTGTCATGCAAAAATATATTTGACTGACAAAGACGGGACAATTATTTGGGAATTCGGAACGGCGCAGACGCACCACCCATTTGTTGTTGTCTGTTGACCTTGTTGACGCCACGCCACCAAAAACCCAAGACGCTAGGACGAAGGACGCAGACGACGCTTCTTTTTTCTTGGCTTGATAAATAATACGAGAGAATTGAACAGGACGAAAGGGTTCATCAAGATCTTGAGATGTTGGGAGAGGAAGAGAATAAAGCCAATGTTGTAAGATTTTAACATTTGAATTTTTTTTGATATTTTAATACTGTTTAATTTTTAATTTTAGGTGGCTTTTTTACAATACCTATGTTGGAGGAATTGAGGCATGTGTGATAAGATCAATTGGAAAATGGGAAGTTTATTAACTAACCATTGTGCCCGGTCTATAGTTGGACTGGCAGAAAAGGGAATTTGAAAATAAAGGATCTTGCATTAATGCAAATTCTTACGATATATTAAATATCTATCATATATACAATATTTCATTATGTAAATTTCCGAAAAGTACCAATAAAAATATTGCAACTGTAATATTTATCTAAGTTTATAAACAACGTTAAATGCAGGTTTCTGTAAGCTAGCATTTTTAATGTTACAAACGTAATTTATTTTTCATGAAAATACAAGTTTGAAGCGATATTGCAGCAAAGTATATTCTGCAAACATTGCATTTGTGAATATTAGAATAAGTCCGTTTCAGTAATTGCAGCAACCTTGCACTTATATAGCAGCAATAAAAAATGAAATATTACAATATTATCTAGAAACATTACTAAAATATTAAAGCGATATTACATTCGTTAGTGGGAAGACTCTATGAAAAAAAAAAAAAAAAAAAAAAAAAAAAACATATAAGGACTTTATTTCCTAGTGTGCTCAATATGGTGTTAATGAACAGCAGTACTTTGTAGAAGAAACTCTCCTGGCATAGGTACATTAATGAAAAATGCAAAAAAAATAAGTCATCCATCCTATGGAGCTGAACGACTCGGTCTACGACCTCGTAGTTCTAATCTTTCACACTCGTTATTGTAATCATGTTCATAAACGCCCTTGTAATGTAAATAACTATTATAACGTCGCTTCTACCAGCTGACAGCATCAATCAGTCGTCGTCAAACTGGCTGCCAGTAGTTCTTTACACTTCTTTAAATCTTTAGATAACAGCAACAGCATACATTAACATAGTTGGTGTACCATTGATTTAGTAATCACATAGTAATTAAACACTAGTAATCAGTAAGAACGCCTCTATTTATTTGATTGGACCCCGGACATAGCATGGTGACAGCGTAAAAGTGCACTAGTTGTTTGAACTTTTGCTATCTGTTGTACTTCTGTTTCCTGCAGCCTGCAGGTTGCAAGTTGTTATTTGTTATTGAAAAAAAAATCAGGAAACATGTCAGATAGCAGAACCCCGGAAGAAGTGAAATGGTCAAGCGACCTTTCTGCATATTGGAAAGTTTGGAGACAGAAATTTGATAGGTAATTACTTGTTGGCAAGTGGAAAAAACTCAAAGGGTGATGATGTCAAAATAGCCATATTGTTGAATCTAATGGGAATTCGGCAGATCAATGCCTTTAATCTACAACACTTTTGAATACACAGAAACTGAAGATAAAACCAAGCTTCGAACAGTTTTGGATAAGTTTGCAGCCTATTGCAACCCCCGGAAGAACAAGATACAGGGACCTACGCACACAAGAAAGACTGTTACAGGAATCTAATCTTCCACTGAGTAACGTCATTCAAATCTGTAGATCTATGGAAGCAAGTGTGACAACCCAAAAGATCATTACAATGGTCGGTGCTATGAATTTGAAGTATCGAAGCAGGCATCAAAACAATTGTGAATAAGTGGCGTTAAACCCACTTTTAACAAGAGACGTAAGAAAAATTTAAACTGCGATTATTGTGGATTAGTTCAGGAGAAAGCAGAATGTCCAGCATCCAATCGTATTTGCAATAGATGCCGTAAAAAGGACATTTTCAAAAGCTGTGCCGTAGCAAATATGTACATCAGATCAAAGAGGATGACGATTATGACAATGATGGTAGTGCTGATGACTCTGATAGTTACTGAAAGTTTAGAAATCCCAAATAAAGACTCTAATACTCGCCAGAAGGTTAAGCAAAGTACAACATTTTCAATATCCCTGGTTATTCCTGGCCAATAAACTGTTTCTTGGGATCGCTTTTTACATGATACTACGCCTTGGTGGCAATTGTGTATCAAATTCAAAAATTCTTGTCTTAAGGTTTGCGGTATTAGTAATCTTTTCTTGTAAAATAAAACATCTCTATGCAAGTAGAGATCATTTTCAATATTCCAGTATTTTTTCAATTCAGAGGGAATATTGCTTTTGTGTTCAGGCCAGGCCATCCAGAAAGGAAACATGTTTTGCTAATTGCAAAATAGCATCATTAGAGAGGGCTTGTTTAAGTCATTCTTCGTTTTCTAGAAATGTGGCTATCACAGAATAAACCATTAAGTTTGCATCCAAGTACGTAGTATCAATAAATTCATGACTTTGGCTTCTACTAAGAGTATCAGCTATCAGCATTTTCTTTCCAAGGACATATTCTAGTGTAAACTGATATCTTAGCAATCGGAAATCCAATAGCTAGTCTTTGCAATCTCGGAGACGACTCATTTAAAGGCAGTAAACCTAAAAGGGGTCTATAATCAGTTTGGATTGAAAATCTTTTACCAAATAATAATGGAATATTTCACAACCCATCACCAAAGCCATAAGTTCCTTTTCAATGTGATTGTATCTTTGTTGAGTGGGAGTGAGAGATATTGAGGCATATTCCACTAGATGATATTCCTCCAAGACCGAATGGGCTTGCATCAACACTAAGAATAGTTTCTCTTTTTTAGGGTCAAAATATGATAGCACTTGTGTAGATGTCACAAGTTTTTTAAGCTGTTGAAAACAAAAAATATTTTCATTTTCAGTCCACACCCATTTATTTTTTTCACTCAGAAGTTTTCTTAACGGCGCAGTTTTTTGTGAAACATTTGGTAAAAATTTAGCAAGGTAAACTATCATGCCGAAAAATCTCTGTAGTTTTTTTCCGGTTTCCAGGTGGTTTCATATTTTTCATAGCATCAATTTTTTTTCCGCTTCGCTGATTGCATTTCCTAAGAATTTTATGCTTTTCTGACAAAAATGTTATGTTCTTCTAGGGTCCTGCCGTCCACAAGTACATCATCAAAATATGATATTACATCAGGCACACCTTCTAACTTTTCATACATAAAACGCTGGAAATTTTCTGGCGCTGAGCTGATGCCGAATGGCAACCGTGCGAATCCTATCACCTCACAATGTCCCTGAATTGCATGGGAAAAAAATTGGTATCGATTCCAAATCTCTGAATGGTTTGGATTTTATAGTAATTATTGACTACTTCAGCAAATTTGTTGTAGACAATCGCATTCTCAGGAAAACAGCCCAGACTGATAGCAAATACGACATCAAACTTACTACTTTTAGTCCTCACTACCCAAAAAGCAATGGAATAATTGAGAAGGCGAATCAAAATGTTAAAGCTCTATTGACAAAGTGCCTCAAAGATGGTGAAGATCCATTTTTATGCATATTAGACTACAACATGACGCCCAAGCAAGAGCAAGACTTACCTTCTCCCTGTGAGCTAATTATGGCTAGGAAATTGCGTACAACTATTCTAGTGTCACGTGATTTTTTACTACCCGATTATTCAAATTAAAGGCAGGAGAAACTGCAGCATAAACAGAAAATACAAGATTATAATAGATCTGCAAAAGAACTACCTAACCTTGAGCCAAGACAGAAAGTATTGATACAAAAAGGTCTTAGAAATTGGAAACCTGCTACTGTGATTAAAAAATCAGGACCAAATGATTTTCCCGTTCAAACTAATGATGGCGCAAAGTATAGAAGAAATCGGATAAACCTTAGGACCTCTGAGAGAAATTTCAAATTTCCAGACCAATTCGCCCAATAAAAGGAAAGAAAATGACCAGATAGAAATACCAGTTGAAGAATAAACTATAGTTGAGAAATTCTCAAAAAATAACATTGATGTGACTCACGATAAAAATGTTGACCCAAACGTACTTCCTGATGAATACTATAAAGAGTTGAATAATGCATGTTAAACTACTCGTAGTGGTCGTACAATTAAAACGCCCAGAAAACTTGATATTTAGTAATAGGTTTTGTTCATATTCATTTTTCATTGCATTTCTTATTTTATTTTTGACAATTTTTGTTTATTTTATTTTTATTTTATTATTAGGAGGGGCTTGTCATGTATTGCCTTCATCTATTATGACATGAATAGTTTATTAATAAGAAACGTTAGATCTACCTCTATTACCTAGATATTTACCTGCCGTTTAAATTTCTATTTATTAAAATGAATGAACACATTTAAAACATTTTTGACATTATGATGAATTCGTAATAATCATATGCATGTATAAGAGAGCCTTCAAAGCCTTTGCCACTTACAAAACACTCCGCTGCGCGTCGTGTTTTGAAATATGTCGCGCGTGCTTTAAAGGCCCTCTTATACACTTATATCTTAATAATACTATTATTTATAACACCGCTTATTCTACCAGCTGACAGACTAGAGGCGTCAATTAGTCGTCGTCAAACTGGCTACCAGTGGTTCTTTAGTTCTCTAGATAACCTCAACAGCATACATTAACATAGTTACTGTGTATCATTGATTTAGTAATCACATAGAGATTAAACACTAGTGATCAGTAACGACAGTAACATCGCCTCTATTTATTTGATTCGACCCCAGACATAACAGGGCTTTGGACTAGAAGGATTATTGAGTGGAGACCACCACTGGAGACATTCGCAGTAGAGGTCGTCCGCTGAAAAGATGGTCAGATGACATAAGGAGAATCCATATACTAACTGGATGAATATAGCACAGAGGATAGACCAAGATGGAACAGACTATGGGAGCCCTCTATGTCCTGCAGTGGACGCAGATGACTGCTTTATAATGATTTTAAAATATGTATAAGTACCTAAATCGTCACTTTCAAACAGTAAATTCTCGTGCACCCCCAAAGATCTGCAAAATTTGATGAAATTGGCAACGTTATCTCTGGAAAAGAAGCTCCTGCGCATTGCCTTTTCAAAGCATTTGCCTCTAACACTTGGTACAGGCTAAAAAAAATACATTATTAGTTTTCAAATTTCATAATCATCAATCATCGATCCTTACTCCTTTCATCAATCCAGCTCCTACGGCCCTTTTAGCAGTATCGCAAACGATTTGCGCTAAATGGCATATGACTACGCCGTTGTCAAGCTCCGTGAGAAAGTTGTCCCTGTTGATGTAGTCGATTTCTGAAAAGAATACAATTACTGTAAAGAAATAAGTAAATGGATCAACTGTAATTGTTTAAGTCGAAGTGTTAAATTGGTCAAGTGCCCACTTAAACTGTTAAAACTAATCGAGTTAAATCATATGGAGTTGTGTGACCTGAAACAATAATAAGAAATGTTTGATGAAATTTTAATAATTGTGTCCATGTCTGCACCACTGAATAAATTTAATCAGGACATCGAAGAGAAACAATGAACGCTTAATAACGTTCACGCACGATGGGTTAAATTAGATTAACCCAAATCACTAACTAATCAAATTAAACTGTTTTGATTCGGAATTTCTACTTTTTAACGTGACTTGAATTTGTAAATCAAGTGTTACTATTAATTTCCATGTTCATGTTAAAATAAGTTGTCAGGGGTCATTGGGTCGGGTCATGCCCAGATTATACCACCTTGGCATAGATTGCAATTTTTCTTTTTTAAATACCACGTAATTACGATACTATTAAATTTAATTAGTTGTAGGTACAAAATAACAAGAACGTTATGAATTCTCTTGGTATGTTAATGAACTTGCTTTAAATGGTATCATTTTGAATTTATATAAATTGCCTTTCTCACTCTGTATAATTTCCAATTTAATCATAAGGATTCTTAATAGATGCCTCCCCTTATATGTTTATCTATTAGGGCCTGGTGTAAAATTACCTCTATGTATACGACATGACATGGAAATATTGTACAAACTTAGACTATGCCAACGAGGTAGAATAAAGCCAGACCTATATAATTAATGTCACTTCTCTTTCAAGCTTGATAGTCTTGAAACTGGGTGCATATAATGTATAATAAAACTGCACCCTTTTTAATTAGGACATTAATTTGTGTCACTTTTGTTCCCGGTAAATCGATTATAGAGCTTTTATAACTGCAACCAAGCCCTATTTAAGTTTATTGACCACTAAAATATTAAAGACTAATTTGTTCTCACAAACATTTAAAAAAATAAATCCCTATATAGGCCTAAAAGACTCGTATCCAATTTCGTATTCACGACATATACCATTCGCCTCTCAAGCAAACATTTTAATAATCCTTTTTTCTTCGGGGATTGTTTCTTTTGATGTCTATATGGACGACTTAGCATATAAAGGTACATCATCATCATAGTATTCAAATTTCGAGCCTATCCTTATGCCTTCAAATAGTTTTAGAAATTTCTGACTAGTGATTCATATGGCAACCAATTTTGTTCATAATTCATTAGCAAAGTTGTTAAGTACCGAGTTAATTGCTACATATTATGGTCATAAGGAAAATCCTGTTTAAAATTTATAGACTCTTAAAGCCAATGCAATATTGAGGAAGGTGTTACATATGTTACATAATAATTATTTTGAAATATTTACCAAAACTATATTCAAGAAGTTCTCATAGACCAGGATAAGTTATTCTAGAGGCATTTACTATTTCGAAGTTTTATCAAAAATCTCTGCCGGTACCACAAAAGGCACATTGTGGACCAAAAGGTCCGAACCGCGATGTCAAAGATCGGGGTTATCTGAGACACGAAATCTATATGCAGTAGTCGAGCCCCTATCACGAACCAAGAACCATAATATCTAAATCTGGCACATTTTTTTTTTTTTGAAATAAAAAAAATAAAAATGAGCCCATAATAATTATTTACAATTTAATTGCTACCGGTAATGAGCTCAAAAATAAGATCGTTTGATGTGTTTAGAACACGTTTTGGTGAGAATCACGATTCTGTTCCAATTTTCTTTATCGGGACGATAATGGACAAGAAAGTGGTTCTCTTGGGGGATACCTCGGAACGTGTGCCCGATATACCGTAAACGGCGCAAAAAAAGAAAATCCATAGTACCATTTTGCTACGGTTTGTAGAAAATGTCAATAAATAAAGTGCAAGTGATTTAAAAACTTGCATAAAACAATTATTTTAATTATGCCACTCAAGATGGTTTCTTCGAACAGTGTTAAAAAGAGGTTAGATTTGTAAAACAGTTATAAGTACGTGGTTGCTAGTAGGTACTTACTGGAAATTAACCGTTTTTTACTATTGTATGTTAAACAACATTGTCAATTACCTGCAAAGATTTTTAATTTTCTAGTTAATTATTGTATGTTAGATTTAATTAAATTTATAAAATCTTGTTTTTAGTTTTATACCTATCACACAATGAAGTTAATCAATTAATGTAATGTATAATGTCATTCGGAAATCCTTCCATTGAAATTGTGACATAATAATCGTAAAAGGAAATCGTTAAAATTGCATTATACAAGAAACGGTTGTTTGATTAATTTTCGGGGATTCATGGGTGAATACACAAGCTTTTACATCAATTCTTAGTGTGAAATTAGCGTATCAAAAAAATATATTCAATGCAATTTCTCAAAATTTTCTCAAAGAAACATCGAATTCCAGGCTCTTATTACAGCCAAGCTCAGATATTTGAATTGGATTTTTTTGATTTTTCAGCATCATTGAAATTTTTTCGATTCTCAGCAGTTCTTTATAGTTTAATCTTGAAAATTCGTCTATAGAGCTTTTGAAATCTTCAAAATCTTGAGTATTCATTCCTGTGTCTTTAGATTCTCACATAAGTTTATTCACGACCTTCTTCAGAGGCTTATTAAATCAAGAACCCGTACACCTTTGAAGTTTTAAATTTATGAAACTTTAAAGTCTTCAGAAGGTTTAAGATTTAGTCTTCAAGGCTATAGCCTCTAGAGTCTTTAGCCTCATGACATTTCGAAGTCTTTAGAATCTTCAGAATCTTTAGTCTTCAATGGCCTTAGAATTATTGATCAAGACGCCGACAACTTTTGTATTTTTTGATCTTAGCTCAGTAAAGCCTTTATTTGAAAATAAATGAGTCTTCAAAAAAATGAATCTTCAGAAACTTCAAAACTCCATCAGAGTTTTCCGTCATGAGCCTCAAGTATTAGGATTCTTCCAAATTCCAAGAAGATCTAGTGCATTGAGTCTCCAAAGCTATGGTCTTTAGAGTCTTTATTCTCAAGACATTTCGAAACCTTCAGGATCTTCAGAATCTTTAGTTTGCAATGGCCCTAGAATAATTAATCAAGATGCTGACATTTTTGTATTTTCTGATCTTAGCTCAGTAAAGTCCTTATTTCAAAATATTTAAAAAAATTAGTCTTCAGAGACTTCAAAATCCCCAGAGTTTTCAGTCATCATGAGCCTCAAAACTCTCCAAGATCTCTAAGTTGTTCAAAGTATTAGGATTCTTCCAAATTTCAAGGCTTTAGATAAAGTACATTAGAATCCTGCATTGGTCTACAAAGCTATGGTCTTTAAAGTCTTTATCCTCAAGATATTTCGAAACCTTCAGGATCTTCAGAAGCTTTAGCCTGCGATGGCCCTAGAATAATTGATCAAGACGCCGAAAACTTTTGTATCTTCTGATCTTAGCTCAGTAAAGTCCTTATTTCAAAATATTTCCAAAAAAAATGAGTCTTCAGAGACTTCAAAATCTCCAGAGTTTTCGGTCATGAGCCTCAAAATATTTCAAGATCTCTTAGTTGTTCAAAGTATTAGGATTCTTCCAAGTTTCAAGGCTTTAGATCAATTCCCTTAGAATCTTGAATTGGTCTCCAATTGGTCTTTAGAGTCTTTATCCTCGAGACATTTTCAAACCTTCAGGATCTTCAGAATCTTTAGTTTGCCATGGCCCTAGAGTAATTGATCAAGACGCCGAAATCTTTTGTACCTTGTGATCTTAGCTCAGTAAATTCCTTATTTCAAAATATTTAAAAAAATGAGTTTTCACAGACTTCAAAATCCACAGTCTTCAGTCATGAGCCTCAAGACTCTCCAAGATCTCTAAGTTGTTCAAAGTATTAGGATTCTTCCAAGTTCCAAGGCTTTAGATCAAGTGCCTTACAATCCTGCATTGGTCTCCAAAGTTATGGTCTTTAGAGTCTTTATCCGCAAAACATTTCGAAACGTCTAGATTCTTCAGAATCTTAAGTTTGCAATGGCCCTAGAATAATTGTTCAAGACGGCAAAATCTCTTGTATCTTCTGATTTTAGCTCAGTAAAGTCTTTATTTCGAAGTATTTTAAAAAATTAGTCTTCAGAGACTTCAAAATCCCCAGAGTTTCCAGTCATGAGCCTCAAGACTCTTCAAGATATCTAACTTGTTCAAAGTATTAGGATTCTCCCAAGTTCCAAGGCTTTAGATCAAGTTCATAAGAATCTTGCATTGGTCTCCAAATCTATGGTCTTTATAGTCTTCATCCTCAAGACATTTCGCAACCTTCAGGATCTTCAGAATCTTTAGTTTGCAATGGCCCTAGAGTAATTGATCAAGACGCCGAAATCTTTTATACCTTGTGAGCTTAGCTCAGTAAATTCCTTATTTCAAAATATTCAAAAAAATGAGTTTTCACAGACTTTTCACAGAGTTTTCACAGACAAGGCTTTAGATCCAGTGCCTTAGAATCCTGCATTGGTCTCCAAAGCTATGGTCTTTAGAGTCTTTATCCTCAAGACATTTCGAAACCTTCAGGATCTTCAGAATCTTTAGTTTGCAATGACCATAGAATAATTGATCATGACGCCGGCATCTTTTGTATCTTCTGATCTCAGTAAAGACCTTATTTTCAAGATAGTTAAAAAAATTAGTCTTCATCAGAGGCTTCAAAATCCCCAGAGTCTTCAGTCATGAGCCTTAAGACTCTTCAAGATCTCTAAGTTGTTGAAAGTATTAGGATTCTTCCTAGTTCTAAGGCTTTAGATCAAGTGCCTTAGAATCTTGCATTGGTCTCCAAAGCTATGGTCTTTAGAGTCTTTATTCTCAAGACATTCCGAAGTTTTCGGGATCTTCAGAATCTTCAGTTTGCAATGACCCTAGAATAATTGATCAAGATTCCGACATTTTTTGAATCTTCTGATCTTAGCTCAGTTAAGTCCGTATTTGAAAATATTTAAAAAAAAATTATTCTCCAGAGACTTCAAATTC